CTCTTTCCAGATGGTATTCTTCGAAGATTGATTCTTTTAAAACGATTGCTTTACTATATTAGGGCCAACCTGTTGTGCTTAGCAGTAACTTTCGTGGCTTTATTTCTTATATTATCTCTTCTTTTCAGTTCCATGTGTGTATCTTCTGCTATCCGGGTGCTCTTGTTTACAATTAAGTCTCGCACTTAGTCTTTAAATTTAGTGGAGTTTATAAGATAACCATCTTAGGTTAGGTGGCGCATATCACCCACGCAGCCACTCTTATAGCAACGAATACCAAGCATTAATATAGAGTTCAAACCCTACATTAATGCCCGATATTTCTGCTGACTTCATTGGGCCCCTAAAGTACTTACGAGCTGTACCTCAGGAAGCAATGGGACAAGGAAACGAACTCAAATCGTAATAAGGAACACAATAGTGGAATGCCAGAAAAAAACAGAAGTTGGTGAAAAAGCGTGATACTTAATTGAAGTATTGAAATACTAAACAAAATGATCTAATAACTGAAGAAAATGTTTTCATTAATATTTTCTGAGATGAAAAGTGAACTAAAGATCAAATATAGCAAACATCGTTAACAGCGCAAAAACACAGAAATTGAGTTGGATCGCACAATGAGGAACTAAAAAGAGAAGCACGAAATAAAGCGAGAATTAGATCCAACCTAGTTCAGCAATCATGAAGTAAAAAACACTGAAAATATTTTGGGGGATGAATTTAGCCAAATAGAGCTTCATTTTCATTCATATTAATGTAGATTATCATCAACTTTCTTTTAATTGTATTGATTTATGGTATGTGTCAACTACTTCCATTTTAGGAAGAATAAGTTACGAAGATATATTAGATAGCTTTTTTTGGATCATCCGATATAGAGGTGGCTATAATAGAAATACAAGAATTACTTTTGTATGCCTTACTTAGTTATTAATGGTCGATCGCATTTCAAGCTATCATCACAAATGACAAAACAATTTTTACCTACCCAAAGTATACCTCCAAATTACTATTTATTAGAAATAAATACGACGATTTATTAAGTAAGGTTTAAGGCATTCACGATCATTAATAATTTATATTGAATATAAAACTAAGAATCTTATTGATCTATTCTACGGAACAGAAATATTTCAAGTAATAATATCAAAAATCTCAACATGGATTTTGAATAGATACATATGTACGCTGAAAATACAAGAACAAATTATCCAACGTGTATCACCACTTCTCCGGATTACCACCCTAGATAGATACGTTGTCAATGGTTTTCATGGGAAGTTGCTGAACGATAGTTCCAAGACTTTCTAAATAACATTCTAATCATTGAACCAGCTACATTTTACCAGATATGGAATATGCATGAAGCATGATGTTTTATGGATAAAGCTGGATGCTGACAAATATCTACGATTTGTAGACTGGTTAGTATTGGAAGGAGTTTACAAATCTCATAATAAAAGACTACGTATTTATGAAATGTAAAAGCTGATGGATAGTCTATCTTCAATACGGTTATGGCTGAAATGACTTCACTACAATTTCCCAATCTTTACAATTTTTCTTACTTTTTAATAATGGGGAATTAAGGAGAATATTGTTGAGTGATTTATTTTATATCAACCCGAAACTGGTCATCATTGCAGCGGCTGCAAGTAACTTCGACTTTATCAGGTGAAGTCGTATAGCAGGCCGCTTACGGCTGAGGCTTAATGATAAATATATCAACCTAAAACTATATTGCATAGCCGTAGCAGCAAAGGACATTGGTTAAATTTCGAATTGAGAAAATAAGATTGCTATTGATTGATCTGAAGTTGTTTTCGGCAAAGGTGCTTCAACTTAATGTCCAATTTCGCAATGATATGATACTAATTACAGAGCCTCGGTTTTATAAAGCGAACTCGTAGATCCTTGGACTGATTAAGCTAAGTGTAATATAATAATAATAATAATAATAATAATGCCTTTACTACTCACCATATTACAACACATCAACTGCAAATAACCTCAGCTAAACTCAGAACGGAAAATATAGAATTACACTTAATGAAACCAAAGTCGCATGTGGCTGATGCTCAATTAATATCAAATCAAGCTGAAACTGGTCATCATACGAGAGATGTAACAAATGATAATTTTGTTTACAACTATTAACTTATCTTCAATAGAATAAAAAACTTTCACACTGCTGGGTATAATTTAATTAACACGGGAGATGAATGTAATCAACTAAAATTTTTTTGCAAGATAAACCCATGTTAGCCTCTCAATGTACTAAAAAAGGGAAGGTTGTTACCTTACTGTCAACTATGTACATACAATAAAGGTGAAATTGCTAAAGATGAAAGAACTGACTTGAACTGACTTTCAAAAGCCAGCGAGGAAATTTCACTGAACTGGTGAAGCAGTGTCATTATTTTGGTTTCTCCGTGGCTCATCAAGATAAGGGCATCTCATACATGTTGTACGACATGCGTAAAGAATCTTACAGGTTGGGCAAATGGAACGCGATATATGGCTTTCGGAAAATCCATGATTTGGACAGAGCCTGTAGATCACGTATCTGATTGCTACTTTTGCTTGACTAATATAAATGGAATGAATATGGTGCCAAAACATACTGTGAAATATGCAAATGTACATTCTGCATCACGACCACTTCATCATAGTGCTGATTTACCTGTACCTGCAATGCTAAATCAAACAAATGACGCAGCAAATGATGTCATCCAGTTACCTTTATGTAGTGCAATTGCAGATGAAATTCGTGATCCAACCTATGTGCCTGAAGGTCATCATACCTCATTTCGTAACACAAGCTGATATCAACGATCTGGTTCGCGACTTAAAATTGTCAAAAAAGCAGTCTGAAGATTGATTAAGATCCAGATTGAAAGAATGAAATTTGCTTCATTCCGATATTAAGGTGTCTTTTTCGTAGCCGTGACGAAGAACTAACAAAATACTTCTCACAAGAAGAAAATTTAGTGTATTGCAATGATATTACTTCGGTCATGAACTTGCTAAATATTGAATTTGAACCACAAGATTGGCGCTTGTTTATAGACTCGTCAAAAACCAGTTTAAAAGCTGTAATTTTGCAAAATGGAAATAGATTACCCTCTGTTCCGGTAGCATATGCTTCCGATATAACAGAATCTTTCGAAAACATGAAATTGGTAGTAAAAAAAATTCAGTATAATCAATTTTCATTTAAACTATGTGATGACTTCAAAGTCATTGATGTACTTCTCGGATTGCAGCTGGGTTTTACAAAGTATTGTTGCTTTTTATGTAACTGGCCAAAGCGAGAGTGCCTCACTCCTGGGAATTCAACAGAGTACTTCTGCCACCACTACATATAAAACTAGGCCTGATAAAAAATTTTGTTAAAGCTATGGATCGCAATGGTTCAGGTTTTATGTCCTTGAAAGAAAAGTTTCCTAAAGTTAGTGACGCTAAAATAAAGGAAGAAATTTTCCTCAGATCTGAGATCAAGGATTTGTTCAAAGATAACATATTCGAAGAAAAGTTGAATCCGTTAGAGAAATCTGCTTGGAGAAGTTTTAAAAATGTTGTGCAAAATTTTTTGAGCAACCAAAAAGCAAGTAACTACAAAGATCTGATAGAACAACGACTTTCGACGTATCAAGCATTGGGTTGTAATATGTCACTCAAAATTCACTTTTTATACTCGCACCTCGACTTCTTTCCCGCGAACCTAAGAGACGTTAGCGACGAAGATGGAGAAAGGTTCCATCAGGATATTTTCAGCATGGAAAAACGATACCTAGGCAAATGTAGTCCTCGTATGTTGGGAGATTTTTGTTAGACGCTTGCACGAGAAAAGCCTGAAGCCAAATACTCCAGAAAATCATAATTTTTAGTTTTAAAAAACATATTTTCAAGTTGGAGTTCATGTAAAGTCTCAGTATTTTTTATAAAATATAAATTTCCTGGCACAAAAAAAAATGGGTGCCAACATTTTTTCCACCTATTTTCCACCTTAGGGAGTCTAAATAAAGTCAAAAATGCCAAAAAAGTGCATGTGACAAATTAAAAGTTAATTTTTGTCAATCGGTGTGATTGACTACAATAGAACTAAGTTAGGTGCAGACACTGTGGTTCAGCTTCCCTAAGCACTGCCAAAAAGTAATTAAAAAACACCAAACAGCAACCTTTACAAAATTTCAATAAGCAAGCATCAATTTCATTCGTGCCTCTTTTGGTGATATTTTCTGTCCAATTTAAAAAGTACAGCTTGTGGTCATGTGCTTACATCATGCATTCATCTTTCAAACATTTTTTTCTTCAATCTTCCAAATACAGCTGATGAAAGCTATTGACCTTAAGTACTAAAGATATATAAATATTGAGTTTAGATTCTGTTTCTGGTATAATACGTTCGACTAGAAGCATCTCAATATGGTTCATTATGCAGTTGACAACATTTTCATTAATCCTATTGGAACAATTGTCATGGTATTTCCCCCTCTCAAGGAACATACTTCCCTAATTGTAATTAATTTTGGATCTTTTCAAGCCTTTTCCTTCCTATCTTCTTTTCTTTATAATTCTAGATTTTAATGTTACTAGTACTGAATCATCAGTAGTAACATGAGTAACAGTACATGTTCCTTGTCTGTTTGATGTTTCTGCATCATTGTTTTTATCTTCTTAATTTCCAACAAAACATTTTCTAAATCTTTTGTGCTACTAGATGAAGGTCTAGAGTGAATATATTCGATTCCTGATCTAATGTATTCTTCGACGATGTTTTATTGGAATAGGCGAATAGAGCAACTAGTAGAATACTAGACTCCAATTCATATACTTAACTATTAATAACTTAAATTGTTAATAGTTAGTTGTGTAAAAGTAAAGTGTGATACGTTTAAATTAATCAATCTACTCGTGATTTGAAGATTTTTACCAGAAAGTTGTGCGACAAGGTCTATATTTTTAGCTGATATTAATATTTTCTTTTATCTTTTTAGATAGCGTTGAGAGCAACGATTTTAGAACATGAAAACGCTCTGTTAAAGGCGCAATTGTTAACCGTAAGAGAAGAAGCATCATCTTTAAGGCAACTTTTGTTAGAGAAAAAATCTATAGAGTTTTCTCTAAAATAAATATCTGTGTAGTATACTTAGAAATAAAAAAATGTTGTGTGTTTTAATATTTAATTATATTAAGCACGTCTTATTGTGATATTAAATATATTTATTTTTGTGTTATATTCGAGTTTTTCATTTCTCTGATTCACTGATAATAAAAGGCAACCTTTGTAACCAGGATCCAAATAATAAGTCAATATGTTGATATATTGATCTCATCATAGTCATCATACATAGTGAGCAAGTCAATAGTAGGACTGATGTTGAGGATTAGGGATTATATTGAAAAATATTGTGAATGATGTAGTCACAATCGGTGATAGATGACGAGGAGGATGTTGAAAGAGAGATGTCAGCAACGAAAATGCTATGCACTGTGGTGGAAAGAACGAACAATGATGATAGTGTATATCAGGAACGATATTTAAAGATATCAGAGACGATGTTCAGCATTATAAAAGAGGAGGTTAATAGATGATGGTAAAGATGTTTTGTGGAGCCAAAATAATGTGATTATATTTCAGATATGATTTTCATGTCATAGGCGATGTTGAGAAACTTTACAAATGATATTATTGATGATGGTAAACATGTTGATGCAGGACGAACTAAATTAGTGTCGATTCATGAAGCATAACCCAAAGTAGAAAATTGGAGGTCAGATAGAGATAACCATTGGAAGTTAAAAGATACTGTTAAAATTCATAAAAATGAGGCAAAAAACAAACTCCCTCAGTGAAGAGCAGAGATAGCAGTGGATAAGATTGAACCAATGAAGAAGGCGAATAGAACTTTCATCAATTTAAAATAAATAAAGTGTTCTAATTTTTATATAAGCGAAACTGTTAAAACGTAACAGTATTGTAGAGTAGTTTCACTACCATCAGCTTGACTTTGAATTTCTTTTTCTGACTTAACTTCAAACTCTGAAGCCGTTTGTGCCCACTATCATGAAACATAGTGACATTGCTCAAGTCCTCATCATATTCACGAGGCAACTCAGCATTAGATATGGAATCATAAATATTTTCGGCTAAATTTGCAAGTTCAGTTTGAAACTTTGTCATTTTGAAAGGAATTTTTGAAATAATAATCACGAACGAAACTGTAAAACAAACGAGGCGCCGAGAAGAAAATTGGAGAATTACTGGCTTAGTAAAACTTGTGATCAGCTTGGAAAACAAAATGGAGTGTACGGCTTGCTAAATCTATTTTGGCTGGTGAAAATCAAATGCACCGTAGCAAACGATGGATTCATTTCTCGGTTCTATTTCATGGAGTGCGTATCGTATACTGTGTCCATCATATGGAATATTGGAACCAACTCTTAATTAGTCAAAAGATCTACAACTTTATACACCTACCGCCGAGGTGTCACAATATGATGACCAGTTTCACATTAATATAATTTATAACACAGTGAGCCTCGGACGCAAGCGACCTTGGATTAATTGTGCAAAAGAACGATAATTCCACTTGATAAAGCCGTTTCCACTTGTAGCCGAGGCGTTACAATATGATAACCAGTTTCAGGTTGATATAACGTTAATCACAGAGTCTCGACCGCAAGCGATTTTGGCTTAACTAAACAACACAACTACAACTACAGTTGGTGGAAAAAAAGAAATAATTAAGAGAAGAGAGGAATTCCTAGCATATTTGTTAGATGGGAACAAAGTTAACAAATCTACCACAACGTACTGTGTGAATTTGGTTTCTTGGAAGCTACTCAGAGTATCGTGAGCTTTCGTGAACGAACAAAGAAAAGACCAAGAAGAACAATAGAAAATAGGTTGGATCCTGAAACACCAACTCGAACGATGAAGCAACCTGAAAAAGACAAAAATACTGTTATTGTTAAAAGTTTAACAAATGATAAAGGGGCCGTTGAGGTCCAGACTCAACAGAAGCATGAAATTTTAGAATATCTAGAGACAGTTAAAATCAGATCTATGCGTAAGCATCGATCGGGGGCAATAGCTATTGAAACGGAGACAGGTAAAGATAAGAATGCTATTGAGGAGTACTTGAAAAATAAGGAATTAGGGCTGGACAAGACTGGTTAAGAGTGAGCAAAAGAAATAAGCGACGGCGACCTCCTGAATGACATATTTCAGAAAAATCTGCGATACTGGTGCAACGCGCTCTGTTTTTGTTGACGTGGTGTCAGTCGAGACCAAGATCAGTAGAGATAATGCCCGTAGCAGTATAACTCATAGTAATTCAAGCCAACGGAAAAATGTTCTCGTTACTAAATAAAACAAGAAATTTTCCTACACGGATACTATACCTAGTCTATATCTAGCCATTGTGTTATTTATTTTTAAAGATTTCTATTCAGCGTTTAATATTTACAAAAATTTTATTTACAGAACTATTTACTTATTATGAAGAAAACTAGTTACTTAATTGTTTGTTACTGTTGATTGATTATTTTTTACTTATTTATATGTTTATTCGAAGTGACACTTCGAACCAGTTTCTGAGGAATGTTGCAACATGGCATCCGAAACGTCAAACCTTTTCTTAAAAGACGCACGGCAATACCCGAAAGTTTCTAGTGTTAGTTCTAGTTTTAATTCTAATTTTAGTTCAATTAACACCGGCCGTGAAAGAATTCGTACTTATATTTATATGTTTGTTTATCAATTATTTTTTCAGAGACATTTATTTACAAAAGTGTTATTATTTACAAAGTCATTTTATTGTGGTGCTATTCGTATATTTACACATTTATTTATAAGTTTGTTATTTACAATATTATTCTAGTTAGTACTACGAGTTCAACTGTTACTTGTAGTATGTTATTCAAGTAATATGTCTTGAAGATCCTATTGCGAAGATAGTGATGCTGGTATGGGAAGTCAGCCTTTGATAATCTGGATCTGTGATATTTCGATATAGGTATTGCACCATTTTATGTAATATTTGTGCCTATCGCTAATAATGTATATCTACTTACCTTCCTGTTTCCGCCGAGATTGCTGGAAGATTTTACTCGCGGCCACATTCTGGGATGCCTCTGGGGGTTTGGAATCTACGGAGGTGCTTGCCCTACATTTTGGATGTCCTCTGTGGATGATCTCCGGCTAGATCGCTGGTGGCCTTTCCCCTGGGGTCTCTCGGAGCACGAAGAAGCTATAAACGATTGAGGGGATAAAAGATTACGTCGGGTGAGCGTAGAGCACCGTGGGCATGGGGCCTAAAAGAGGTTCTGCATATCTATCATTATATGTTGCCGTAAAATTAGTGTTGTGTAATGTTTAGTACTGCGTCGTGTAAGTGGTTCCTGGATAGTGAGGACTACGCCTCCGCGTGGCCGGTGAGGTAACTTCTCTCTTAGGATATGTACATAGTGAAGCGAAAAGCAAAGTGTTGAGTAAAGCAGATAGTAAAACGGCGAAGACAAATGAATGTAAACAAGTGTGAAGATGCATAGTCGGGAGCCGAGCAGCGTGAACATAACGCTGCTAGATACAAGCGAAGCAGCGATATCAAACCAATCTGTTTTCGTCGCTCTCATTGTAATAAACTAAAATGGATAATCAACAATTAATTGGTGTAGTTTTTGCCAAAAATGCTCTGGGATCAAGAAGATCCTTATCATCATAATCGATACTTGCTTTATAAGTTATGGGTTGTTGTTGCAGCAGAACACCATGATATTGTCGAAAAGCATTATGTCAGATAGAGCAAACTAAACTAAATCTGCTGAAAAATCAGTACTCTAAACCAAAGGATGATGATCACAGCTTATTCGATAATTGACTCCGTAATGTAAAACTATTACCATGCGCAAACAAAATGCTTTTCAGGATAACAGTGCAACCATTTTTATATAATCTCTTACAATAATGAAAGTCAACAACAATACCAGTCACAGTCAGCAACAGCTGCGTCTAATAGCATTTTGAAGAATGAGAGTTGCAGAATGTTACAGATTATTCGGATACTCCGTCCACACCATCATATTTAAATAATGTCACGGATGATAGTAGATCCCTTTATTGATATTTTTCTTTGGCTTGTTACGTATTATGTGGGATCACTATCAGTGATTAATGCTCGATACCAGAGTGTACTGCCTGAACGGCAATCCTGGATCGAAAATGAAAATTCTCTGGTTCAGGCAGATATTTACATGTTCATAGATGGATCAAAAACGCCGGAAGGGGTCGGAGCAGGAGTATACTGCCAGACACCTCGAATTAAGCAAGCTTACAGCCTGGGTACGTATTGTATTTGACACCCTATTGACACCCTATTGACATGGGTTCTGACAACATGACAGTACGACTTTTCTCCTGTTCTATCCTGTTTTGAAAGCTTTCGTGGGTATGAAGAGATTATACAAAGAGATTAAATACATTTTACCTTAAGGTAATTGCAAGCCGTTCCGTAGGTTTGGTTGATGATTGAAATTAGTCCATTTTTTGTCCATTAGTTTATGAATATTTTACCCAAAATATAATCAAACGTTAAAGAGTTCATGCGTAAATATGAGTGAAATGAACGTGTTGTGTCGCGGTTATCGACTCTCCACTATGTACTGCAGTCGCTTTCATCGTCGTTCTGCTCTTAGAACGGTTTCCTCTCTACTTTTCCCAACTCTTTGCTCTACTATGTAAGTACATATCCTTAGGGTATGGTTATGCTGGAACTACGATAAATGATGGGAGCTGCGCAAAATTCATTTATATGAATCAGTATATAGCGACGCGAGCCAATATAAACACCTGCATATAAAATAATGACATCATAATCATGATTTTCTTTGCCTCGCCAGTAACGTCGCTCTTATCTTTTACCGCAGCTCCAACATAAACGTACCCTTAGAACGAAAGTTTCCATCGTGCATGAAGGATTTTACCCGAGTGCCACAAGCAAATATGAGTGTGAGTGTGTGGTCGTCGATGTCATCAGTTAGGTAATTTCACATCAACGATTTACTGTCGCAGTTCTTCATCTGCATATCTGATCGGCCAAGATAGATTTTCCAAGCTATACATGAGTAAATCCCTGACACATAACACTGAAAACTATCACATATAAGACGATGTGATTCATTCACGATAAAATACAAAATGTAGCATTGACTAGTGAATAATATTACTCTTTTTAAAAAGTCTTACCCAACTAACATGGTGTACACCAGTGGTGTCCACTAATTTTTGACCAAAATCGACTTTTCATATAAATGTCTTGCCAAGATCGACCGAAGGGTTTAAAATCCTTTTTTACCTACTGGCTCATCCTGTCATATTTACCTACCTGCTTATAATAATATCACATTTTTTCAATGAAGAAAATATAAAATAAAAAATCATTTCATTTAACTCATTTATTAATATGTTAAGTTTTAATACAGATATTAAATTGAGCTTCCAGGTGAATGTTTGAGTTATTCGACACTGTTGTGAGCCTACAATCTTTTTAAAGTTAGGAATTTAATTACTTAGGGCAATTCTCAAACAAGATTCTAAATTGAGATCTGTCAATGCCTTTCGGTATTTAGATTTTCTTTTTTTTTTAATATGATAGCATACAACAACAGCATTTGTAATGCCACTGGAATGACACCGATAGAAATACTATTTGGTCATACAAAAATGAGATATCCTCTAGACTTATTCTACGATCAAATGACTTATCAAGATCAGATCAGTAAGCATAAAGAAAGGATGAAATTGCTCTATAATAAAATAAAAGCAAAAGATGAAGTAAGTAAAGAAAACACTCAAAGAAAACAAAGGGAGAAAACAAAAGAAACAGAGTGGGTAGTAGGAGAAAACGTTTATGTGGAAAACGTCACTAAAAGCAGTAAACTCATTAAACCATTTTTCGGTCCTTACACTATCCTTAAAGTTAACGATAATAATAAATAATAATAATACCGTAGAGGTGAGCACAAAAAGAGGTAATCAAACGTATCATCAACGACACCTGAAGCATGGATTTGTTCCAGATGCGCTGTCATCGGAGCAGTAGCAGAAGTCAAATTGATGGAACTAAAAGAACCACTTTTTCCATTATATCTAGGCACGGCCGAGAATAAAATCTCAACTTGGACAATAATCACCCAATATGACATAAAACCGCTACTCGAAGAAATCAATTACATGAACAATCGATGTAATGAACTACACGAAGTATTAAACAACAGCAAGGAGGCAAAGACTCATTATCAAGAGTTGGAAAATGCTTTGTCATCATTAGACACAAACCGACAACTGATGAACTCTAATAAAAACCAATTATTACCCAAAATAAGATCACGTAGAGGAGCGGCAAATTTCCTTCGAAGTATTATCAAGGCAATTTCCGGCAACTTGGATCAGGAGGACGCGGAAAAATACAATAAAGCTATAGAAGCTTTAACGAAGAACCAAGAAAAGATTATCAAAATTCAAAAGGATCAAACCTCTTAATAACCCACATCTTAATTCATTAAAATTGTAATTCGTAGTTACTTTAATGTTCTGTGTAATTGTTTTTTGAAAATAAAACTCTTTTTAAAAACAAACCAACGCGGTCGGTTATTGTAATTCTATATTATAGATATTTTAGATTCATGATTTTGTTGGCGATCGACTTAATATGGCTTCGCGATCGACCAATCGATCACGATCGACTTTATGGACACCACTGGTGTACACGTTGTTTTTTATTTACTATGCTGTATTGAACTTTTCGTGTCTTGTAAGGAATAGAACTAATAATTTGCAAAAAAATGGTTTAAGAAAACTGGAAAAGGATTAATTTAAGAACAATAAAATTTAATTCTTTAAAATAATTTATAGAAAAAGTATATTTCAACATGTTTCAACATGTCAAACTTATTTACATTTAAAATTCAATCTTTCTTAAATATTTTTAAATAAATATCTTACAAAATACATTAACTATTATTACGTTTATATCGACGATTTTTTCCAGATTATTAATTCGCACGGTACAATGAATATATATAACAATATATTCAAGAATTTGCTTTGGTTTGTTGGCAATTTAGTAAAAATAGTTCTTAACAAAATGAGTGAATTTATGCAGAATTTAATAATCTAGGTTGTCGAAATAATTATACAAACCAATTTGTGAGTATTTAGTTACTAGATACTACACGCAGATATTTATGTATAAATAAATAACCCCAAGCTTTTGCTTATTACTTTGTAAAAGTATCGTCGCTCATTAGAGTAGCAGTATTTAACATCTTATTCTTTATAAACAAATTTTTACACAAAATAACACGAAAAGAATTTGCGAAAAATGATATAAAATCGAGTTCTTTGTCTTATTTATATAGGTGGAGGCCTTATGTACCGTTTCTCCACGAACGGTATCCACGGATTATCGATACAATTATACCCACACGGTAATAAATAAGAACCGCCATCGACTATCAAAAATATGATAATTAAGCAAAAAATACCCATAAAGATCATCCAACCAATCAAAAAATTCGTAACCATTCTAATTACTCGAGATCTTGGCCTAAAAAAAATTAACTCTTATCAATTTCAAAAAATACCGTTGATAATACCGTGGTGATATATGAGTTTCCATTACACTCGATTCTTCCAAACACAAACATTTTGAGTCGATTTGTAATCCGATATCCTAAAATATCAAAGTAATTAAAAAGAATTTTTGAATTATAATTTAATTTGAGTCAAACCTTATTTTCTTGCGCAAGGTTTGAACTTGCTAATTCAAGATTTTGATCCAATAGTTTCGGTAAAAAAGAAGCGGGTTTTAAAACAAAATTTTTCATTTGAAGTTGTTCTTTTATGCTTTCTGTTTCAAGATTAATTTCAGTTTGGCAAGATTCACTCTTAAACGTAATCTTACATTTTTGCGAATTCAAAAAGTTTAAAACGTTCGAAGAAATTTCCATTTGTTCGATTACATTTAAAATTTGTTTTTCAAGATTTAAAAAACTTTCTGGTGCGTTTAAACAACAAGCTTCGGTTTTTAAAATTTTTCTTATTAAATCTTTCGGGATTGAAAAATACTTAGTTAGAGTTAAAGTGTTATTTTCTAAATTGCTTCTTTTTTGGAATAAGTTTTCTGTGTATTTTTCAAGTTCTAATTTTATTGATTCAAAATTATTATTTTTATTCTCAATTTTAATCGATTTTAATTCCTCTTCGAGTTGAAGATAATCTTCGTTAACTTTTTGCAATTTATCTTCAATTAATTTCTTTTGGATAACCGCCTCTCCTAACAGATTTTTTTCCACCAATAATTTATCTTCTAAATCAAAAGCTTTTTGTTCTAATTCAGCATTTTTAAATAACAATTTATCAAAATTCGACCTTAATTCTACATCAACTCGAAGATTTTCTTCATTAATTTTACTTAATTTATCTTCAATTAATTTCTTTTCAGTAACAGTCTCTGTTAAAAGATTCTTTTCCTCCACTAATTTATCTTCTAAATCCAAAACTTTTTGTTCTAATTCATCGTTATTAAACAATAATTGATCGTAATCTAACCTTAATTGTTCTTCAACTCGAAGATTTTCTTCGTTAACTTTACTCAATTTATCTTCAATTAATTTCTTTTCAGTAACCGTCTCCGTTAAAAGATTCTTTTCCTCCAATAATTTATCTTCTAAATCCAAAACTTTTTGTTCTAATTCATCGTTATTAAACAATAATTGATCGTAATCTAACCTTAATTGTTCTTCAACTCGAAGATTTTCTTCGTTAACTTTTCGCAGTTTATCTTCAATTAATTTATTTTGAGAAACCGCCTCCGCTAAAAGATTTTTTTCCACCAACAGTTTATGCTCTAAATCAAAAGTTTTTTGTTCTAACTCCCCATTTTTAAATAATACTTGATCATAACCCGACATTAATCGTTCCTCAAGTTCGCAATTTTCCTCTTTAAGTTTTTTCAATTTCTCCTCAATTAATTTATTTCGAGAAATCGCCTCAGCTAAATGATTTTTTTCTACTAATAACTTCTCTTCTAAATCAAAAGTTTTTTGTTCTAATTTACTATTTTTAAACACCAATTTATCGTAATTCGATCGTTTTGTGTTTAATTTCTTTTTAGATTCGCGCATATTTGACGTAAAATTAGAACTCGTTTCTTCTAAAACCATTTCAATTTCGCCCCTTTCAATACATTTTAAACGATCCAAAATCGATTCTTTTTCTTTTGAAAGGTTTGTAATTTCATTATCATAAAATATTTTTAAAGCTTCGTTTTCATTTTTGCATTTATCGATTTCGTTTTGGAATTCGTTTAATTTCTCTTTTAATTCTTCAACTTGTTTTCTTAACATATTATTTTCTTCGCTAAAATCTTGAACGTTAAAAACACTATTTAAATCGTTTATTTCCGATTGAAGGGAAGGATATTTTTCTACATCTTCGAACAGGTTTTCGTCGATAGAATTGTCGGAAGTGAAAGAAAGCATCTTCTTTTCTGAAGTAGCCTAAATTAAATAAATTTTGATTTTATGCTTTAAAAATACAGAAAAATATGTTGTGGCGGATTAAGTCATAGTTATCAGAGAGAACATTTACAATAAAAAATCTATTTGTTAATTTGATTTCACGAGTTACCCTAACTTCACAAATAGAGATTATCATTCTCGGTTATTCCAAAAAAATCGGGTTTTCTTGAAGCAGTGGATTTTAAGAAGAAATAGATTGGGAACATCAGAAACGTTGCCGAAAGAGCTAGCGTTAGAGGATAGAGACGGATATAAAAATTATTTATGAATGTCTAAAGAAAAATTTGACGAACTGTTATCGAAAGAAAGTTCAGAATTGCATAAAAATAAGATACAAGACAAGCAATCCCACCAAAATTAAAACTGCAAATAATTTTTTGATATTTAGGTATAAGAGATTAATTTTCCGATTGCCAAGAAACACCACCGTTGTCAGGTACAATACCACGTGTCGGCAGCCACTTTCCATTCGCACAGTAAGAAGGTTTTTGTAGAGTTCGAAAACTCAACAAAAACTGACGAAGGTGATACATCGTGCTTTAGAGCACAAGTAAACGAGCTTCTCGAACGCACCACTGTGCCAAGTTACACAGTCGCAAAAATCAGCCATCGAGTGCTGCCATTCAATATGTCTTTGTTTACTGCATTTTATTTTTATTTTATTTTATTTTATTTTTTTTATTTGGGATGCAAACGGGACAAGCCCAGCGAAGCATCCACTAAAAATATACAATATTATAAACTAAAAACAAGAATTTAGCAATAAGTAACAAAAAAAAAATATCAAACAGGTTAACAAAAAAAATACCAACAGAAATAAAAGTTTAACAAAAAAGTGAAACTTAAACAAAACTAATAATCAAAAATATTGAAAAAAAAAATCAATCAAAAACAGAATTAACGTCGCAAGTCAAACGGCGCACGAGATGCACATGGGAGATCATTAACCAATTTCCTAAATGTAGACTGGGGAGTAGCAAACAAGTCTAAATCAGAACAAAAATTGTTATAAGAAAACATGAGACGAGGGACCACGGAGTTAGAAAACGCATTTGTATTGGTACAAGGCACGTAGAATACCGATAAATCACGGGATGGTCGAACAGGAATCCTAAACTGTAACTGAGATAGAATCGCGGAGCAGTCAACAGTGCCGTTACTCACTTTATAAAGCAGCATTAAATCGTTACTAATGCGCCTGGAAGAGAGTTGAGGGACTCCAAATATTAAGCATCGCTGTGCGTAATCACAGTATGGTAAGTAGAATTTTCGCGATAGGTACCGAAGAAAACGTTTTTGAACTTGTTCTAGTCGATCAATGTATATATGGTATTGAGGGTTCCAAACAGAAGATGCATAGTTAAGGATAGAAGAAACGAAGGCGAAGTAAAGAGAACGAATACAGGATAAGTTAGTAAAAGGACGGGAGACACGACAAATAAATCCGAACATGCGAGAGGCCTTATTAACAATAAAATCGATATGAGCTGAAAACGCAAGTTTAGAATCAAAGAGAACCCCAAGATCTCGAACACAATCAGATGGTATAAGAGTATTAGGGCCGAGGGAATAATCGAAAACAATGGGATAGCGTTTGCGTGTAAATGTAATTTTCGTGCATTTATCGTGATTGATGAAAAGATTGTTGTTTACACAATAAGCCTGTAATCGGACCAAGTCCTCCTGCAATTTTTCGCAGTCGTCAGGTGAACAAATCGTGGTAAATATTTTGCTATCGTCAGCGTATAGCAGAAACTTGGAGTAATGAAAACACGCATGAATGTCATTGATATATAGCAGAAACAACAACGGTCCCAAATGACTGCCTTGCGCCACACCGGAAGTTATCTCTTTGAAGGAAGAGCGATAGCCATTAATGGTAACAGCTTGTGATCTGCTAGAGATGTAAGAAGATAACCAATAAATCAAACCAACAGGGATGTCATAATTAAAGAGTTTCTTAAAAAGAATTCCGTGATCTATTCTGTCAAAGGCCTTACTGTAGTCTGTATATACAGCAT